ATCATCGTATCTAACTAAACGAATCACAAATTGCAGACTATCGTTCGATTTCCGAACTCGTGGTGCAAATGCAACGTTGATTTATCAATCGAGTAAAGTGGCGAATGTTGGGCGGAGACGTCAGAAGCGAGCTGCGGACGGAGAGGTTTGTGCGTTTATTTTCGTTCAAGCATGGTCAGCAAACTTTAAAGATGGAAGATGAATTGATGCATATAGAGTATACAGATGTACTAACTTCTTGTATAGATGTACTGCTTCTGAATTTTATGATGCTCAGTTTATATTTTCTGTTGGAAATGTGATCGATTCGACTGCATTGTGGTTCATTGATTCCCAATACTGGTCGATTACTTCAGGGTTACTTTGCATTCTACCTGTACCGCGGTTACTTGGTGGTTCATCTGGGCACAGATGCTTCACAACGTAGCAAAGTGTTGACGCTTCGTTCTGAGAGCACCTATAACGATGGCCAATTGCATTCGGTATTTCTGTCTCGTGAAGGATCGTTGTAAGTTTGATTAACACTTTAGATCAGACTTTTGATAAATCTGAAAAATCTTCTGAAACTCGTCTACATTAGGAAGTTTTCTCGTTTTGGAATTCCAGTATTATAGCAAATCGTGGAACTTAATGAAAACCTTGAATAATTGCGTTTTCTAACGCTTACCACATTTCGTTTCGTCAGAGTTCGGCTACGTGTTGACGATCGTGAGATTGCATCTGGTACTCTGGCTGACCAAGCGATGATTGGCACAATCAATTCGCAGATTTTCATCGGAGGTTTCCCACCATCGGTGAAACCACCAAGCAACGAATTACCAGCGGATGATCCACTCATTGGATGTGTCTCAGATATTTACAGTGAATACAAGTAAGAAATCGATATCCTATTTATAGTCTTTCAAAACATTATTGAAAGATCAGAAGAAGAAATTATTTGAACAAATACGAATTGGAATTCAACAAGTTTCCATTGTTTCAGAGTGGTACAAATAGTGCCCGATGCATACTTTGCAACGATCGGTTATTGTGCTGCTGAATATGTCTTCGAAACCTCACAGTCTGCAGGTATTCATCCTTTTTTCACGTCTAAGCCTTACTATTCTTAATAGACTGAGGACAAATTGAGACTGAGGACAAATTCAGATGGCTTTCGAACTTTTCTCCTGTTAGTAGTTTATAGTGAACCATCATCGTTTAGAGACTGAGAACAGGTATTGAAGACATTGAATTTGATGAAAACATGATTCAATAGGAAGCAAACTTTCGGAATGCGTGATCAGATATAACAATGAATCAGATATAATAAAGAAATATGCAATTTAAGTCATTTTAATGTTTTAACATTGGAAACAATTGTTTATAGATCTGATTTTGGTGTGTTTATTGTGTTGTTACAATAGATTAATATTTCGTGATAGTCAGTGTAGGCGTAATGATTTAATCACGTTTGAGGTTATGGCTATACGTAACGTATAATTTGATGAAAATTTTGCTGGATGTTATTTTCTCGTCTATCTGACGCTTTCGAGTTTTATACAGTTGCTGAATTGATAAGCGAATTGCAAAAGATTTTCTAAAAAATTGAAATTTGCCTGCAGACGAGCCACTTCAAGCAGACGAGCATGCCTTTGAAAGAAAGGCATCACGACTGTCCCTTCATATAACGGAACCGACACTTTCTACCGCATCTGACCAATACTTCTACATAGGAGGTATCTGAAATAAGCGATGAGATAGCGTACGTACGGGTGCATGCTTACCTTATCGTCATTAATCACGCCGCACTAACACTCTTTTATTTCCTCGTTTCACTGACTGACTGCTAACTCGAATATTTGCCTTTTTTCAATTAAGAAAATTCCGAATCGATTCTCCATAAGTTTGGATAAAAAGGGTGTAAGAAACAGCTGAAGAAATATTCGGAGTCAATTGCTCCCATTCTGTTTTCAGTGTTTGAGCCTAATATATTCCCTGTTGATTGCTCTCATTGACTCTATGATCATTGGAATCGCTAAGTGAACTAGTCCTTGATATCGGCGACTCCTCTTGAAACTGTAGCGGACGTGAAGTATTTTCCGATAGCAGGTTGACGCGATAGCCTTGAAACTAGTTTTAACGTCATTCTCAGTTTCATTGTTTGCGATAATAATGGGTAGATCACACATTATTTGCATGCATTACTTAGCTATTTTATGCATGATATCATAGATTAGATTAAATTATCACTGGTCAGCGGATGTGTAATGATATCTATTTTCCGGTAATGAAACAAACTTTTGTAGTTTCTTTCTTTCAAATTTTAGCGTATTATTTTTTCAATTTTTAACATTCTCGTAGGGAAAAATTGATATATACGCATGCCTGGATCGTTTGGGTCTCTGATCGTTCCAAGATTAGTCGTTTCACTTGTAGTCTCACCCAACTAGAAGTTCAATCTATACTCTTGTCAGTTCCTAACGAATTAAAATTATCATCCTGTTTCATAAAATCTCGAAACAGGATCCTCATTCACTAGCCATAACCATCGAAGAAACAAATATTCAATGTCAGCAGTCATCAACTAATCCAACAAGTTAACACGACTAACTCAGTTATTACCTTTTTGAAGCCGTTCACCGTGTAATCATTCAGCAATTAACTTTTGATTGCTAAAATGCGTTGCGCAGAATCACTCAAAAATCTTACCAAAACACTAATCAATGTTCACCTCAATGATAATTCTCAATTGCATGTTCTCTGTTTAACTTNTTTTTTTTCAGTTGTTGTTGTTGATCCAGTTGTTTTTTCTGTTGTTTTTGTTGTTGTTGTCAAACAGTGTTGGCCCCGAGAGATGATGGCACAGTCAAAATTGAAATTATAACAGTACCAGAAAAACGTGCTCTGGGAAATAATTTCATGAAACTGTTTCGCAGAATCATTGATACATTTTCTGGACTGCATTGCTTAGATTGAGTGGACGTAGTTGGTCACCTTTTCTGCATAGAAATAGTTGAGGTTTTTAGCTGAACATATTAACAAGTATTTTTGCTTGGTGCATCTGAGAGTGCTGTCAGAAAATCGCTTGTGAAGTCAATTTAGGAATGTAGAGATATTGGATTGAGAAATGTGGAAATATTAGATTTAGAAGTAGAAGGATCGCGTTTGAACGTCATTATCCGTGAAATAGATGTTATTTCATGTGTTAAATATGGATGTATTTTGTGCCGTTCACAAATCCCACTTGAACTAGCACGCATATCCTCTCTGATTTTCATCTCTTCAACTGCTTTCTTCTCATTGCTTTCTCGTGTGAGGAGAACGGGACGAATGAATAGCTAAGAACAGATTATTAGTTAACAGATTATCAGCAGTGGCTTATTGTGATAGTATGGGGAAGTGAATGGATTCATCTAGTACCAATGCATTGAGGTAACAGTTATCATTGGGATCCGTAATCAATGTGATAAATATGTGGAAAACTAGAAAATAGATTCGTACAGTGAAATTCATCTCTTTTTCTGAATGAAATTTCCTTCTAAGTTCATCTAATAACTGGACGTTTAATTTGTCGGAAACAATTTCTTTTTACCGCTGCGTCATATTATCGCTACTATTTGATTGAAAATTTCCCGTTTAATCGTTCCAGTTTTCTCGGATGCCTTCCGTAGATAAGCGATATTAAGCAATTTTGATCGCTTTGAGCGATTTCGATCATTT